TTTGTCGGGTAGCTGCCTTTCATCAAACTTAAATAGGACAGAGAGACTATCACATCACTCCTCGTTTCTGGTTGCTTTCAGACGTTTTACTTCAAATATTTTAGCCCCAGTCAGATTTTCTTTTATTTGGTCGTCTGTCGCTGTAGTCGGAATGCCAAAAATGACTCCCCGAATCATCCTTTTTCCTCTAACAGTGAACACTGTACTTTCATCGATATTGTTCAGCCTTATCGCTTTTCCTTGTTGAGCACTATCTGCAACTAACAAGGATCTGTTATGCAAAATGTAAGCATTTTGAATGCTTCCTAACAGTTTGTTAAGGGACTTTGTTAGTTGAATTGGGTTCCACTCACTGAAAGACACACCCTCCTGCACAAGTTTGATGATCACCCTATTTTCCTCTTGCTGTTTCTCTTTAATCAGATATTCCATTCCACTGTCACTACCTTCCGTAAATGACCTATCCTTTGATTTTTTCCATTTTCTTCTGCTATTATTGTGTCTAGCTATGTTCTAAACATCACCTCTCCCGCCACTACATTCAACTCCCATTTCACTTCCTGATCCGTCACTTCCCTCTGCCATCTCCTGACCATTCACAATCCAGTCGTGCCAACCGCCATCACAGGCTGGCTTCATCTAAATGGCTGACAAGAGTAAAGGTGCCTCTCTGTATGAACAGGTTTCAAAATAAAAGGCCTCTTTTCAAAACAAAAGTCCAACTTAGAATTAGGCGAACAGACTGCACAGTAAGGTTAGGTTATGGCGGTAGAGTTATGAAAAAACAAGTCGTAATGTGATAACATCAAAGTCACATTTTTAATAAAAAATAAATTCATACGAAAGTAATAATATTAGGAGAATCAAGTCATAATGTTCTAGGAATGAAGTAGTGATAAAAGGGGTAGTTTTGGTTCACAGTGAGCAGTCAGCTGTTTGTACCAAAATGAGGAGGGTGGAGCGTCTGGTTCAATTGTCTCTAATCTTTTGTTTCCTCATTGTCATAAGTCTCAGGACTCTGAAAAGCCAAGATGTGTGGTTTTCCCCCTCAAAACAGCGTTAGGAGGCTGATCGATGGTCAGCTCTGAGTGCTGTAGTGAGTTAAAGGACAGTGAGTCGTGTTTCTGTTTCTGACTAAAGAAATAAATAATGAGTTATTGTCTCCTCATAGTTGACTCTGATCATTCTGAGGAAACATCAGCAGGATCTATGACAGCAGCGCTACCTGATATCATTCAGCTTCATTTATCTGTACTCTAATGAACCTTTAAGAGGATAAACCTCCTTTGACCAGTCCAGCAGAAAACTGACAACTTCAGCATCACTCCTCAAACATAAATTTGTTATTAGGGTTTTCATCTATGAGTGTTAACACTGATTTTCATCCCTTGTTTTCTCCCATTACCTGTCCTTGACCTCATTTTACTTCTATGTTTTTGATTTTTGGACAAAAACTTTGATTCAATCAGATTCATGTTTCAGTAACGCATGACAAGATTGATCCTCCTTTTGTCAGGTTTTAACAATCAAAAACTTCTCTCAATACAAACCTATTGGCAAACAACAAAAAAATCTCACTCAATGATGACTCCCCCCCCAGCTGCCATTACGATTTCCTCACCCCTTAATATGACAGTTTTCTGGCAATCTACAATAGTACCTACAATATATTACCCAAAAACAAGACCTGGTGCTTTTTTCCAGGAAATAAATGATCTTTTGTTGATGTTCTGCTGTTACTGTGGTCAGAAATAGGACAAAACCTGAATAAAAAGCTTTGGGGAGATCTTGTTAGGGTTTTTCTTCATACGCCTTTAATTTGATTTTCCTCTCTGTTATATTTCATGTCCTTGGGGCTAAGTACAGCGGTGTGCAAAACCATGAGAATAAATTATAATCTGCACGCATGAATGCATGCACACTTATATCTGCATGCTGTTCTTTTCTTTCTTGACCTGTTACCCCAGGGCTTTGTACACACACAATTATGAAAACAAGCCATATTCTTACCAACAAGCCAGCCATATCTTACTTCTCTATTCCTCAAATGTGCTGCAACACCAAGGTGTTGTGTCTGTGCCATTTATGCAAAGACAGACATATCTGGCTAATCTCCACATCCAATATCAAAAGTTGTGCCTTGAGTAGAATAAGTTCATCTGAAAACACTGCATCTGCATCTCGAAATCTGTGTCAGGCTGAAGTGGTGAGCAACCAATTACATTCCCTCGATTAGGACTGCTTCATTCTGGCAAATATCATAATCACAATTTGATTGATATTGATATCACTACTATTTAAAACAATTATTCACCATCAGACATCTGCATCACAAGCATTTTTGCTACATCACCAAGCTTCCTAAGCATCAGAGGGATCTCATTGTTAAAGGAATCAGTCAGGAGAAGGGTTCAAAAGAATTCTCCACTGCATTAGACATACTATGAAACACAGTGAAGACAGTCTTCATCAAGTGGAGCAACAATGACATTACCAAGACCTGTGCATCCCTCCAAAACTGATGAAAAGACAAGAAGAAACTGGTCAGGGAGGCTGCCAAGAGGCCTGGTTGATGGGTGGCAAGACTGAAACCTTTTCTTACAAAGAAAAACATCCAAATCCATCAGAAGCACATGTGAAGTCTCCCCAAAGCATTTGGAGAAATGTATTATGGTCTGATAAAAACAAGGTTGAACTTTTTGGCCAAACACAACCCTGCACATCACCATAGGAACACCACACCCATGGGGAAGCATTATAGTGACAGCTTCATGCTTTGGGTTTGTTTTTCTTCACCTGGACCTGGGGCCTTCGTAAAGGTGGAGGGAATAATAAACAGTTCCAAATAGCAGTCAATGTTGACACAAAACCTTCAGGCTTCTGTTAGAAAAAATGGGCTTCACCACAAGATCAAAGTGTGTTTGCAAAAAAGTGTGGGCAAATACTGCCAAGTCAAGATGTGCCAGGCAGATAGACTTTTGCAAAAATAAATAACTTAGTGCTCTATATTTATGCAACCACATCACAACTGAGTTGAACAGGTTATAGGTCACATTGAAGGGGAAAAACATTATGAAATAATTGATCTTTGATGTATTTTTTCATTAAATAACCAAACCTAACATTTTTACAGTGGTGTGTAGAGTTTTTATTTTCACTGTAAACTAGGGGGAAAAAAACTAAATACTTGAAAAAAATAAGTAAGTTGAAAAAGAAAATGTTGATATATCAGTTCCTTACTAGTCAGGGAGTCAAAGGGTGATTTCTGGCTGAACGTGGTTTCGTCAGTTAAAGTTTTTTTCTCAACATTTTTTTTATTAACCCCTTAATGCTTTAAACTTTAAACCGTGATATTGTACATACACAGAAATCAAATTAAATGCATTAGATCTGCTTTCTACAAAATCTAATAGTGGAACTGGTCATGTTTCCTTTTGGATGAATGCATATTAATAACAAAAAATGCTCAAGGGATTTCACTGGGCACCCTCTTGAATCCTTAAGAGGGGACCCCCAGCAGCAAGAATCAGTTGAGAAAAAAACTTTAACAGACGAAACCACATTCACCCCCATGGCTCCCACACTATACTTTAAGAGCTTTGGCTTAATTTTGATGATAACACTAAATTTAATGCCAGATTTCACTTTTATTGAAGTACTTTTATAAAAATTTAAGGATTTGAGCTTTTTTTGTTGCTTACATGTTATCACAGGGTGCAGATCTTCCAAGATATTCAATCTTTTCAAGCTGTAATGTAATGTCCTCTATAACATCAGGGCTGAAGCTTGTATTTAAATACAACTTTTAAAGATGTCTCTCATTTTTTAGCCCGGCAGTCATAAGCACTTGTGCATGCTTGTGATCACAACAGCCTCTCTCTCATCCTGCTCACTCTGTCCCTTGGCCTTTCAGACACTCATGGATCCACACACCAGCCTCCCACTGATCCCCTCCCTGCTCTCCTTCTGCTCCTCTCTTTGCTTTCTTCTCTCCTCCTGCTCCCCTCTCTGCTTTCTTTTCTCCTCCTATGTTCTCATCTATCCTCCATCTGCTCCTCTTCCTGCTTTTTTAAGACATTTTTAAGAAATCATAGAGATTACATATTTTTTTATGATGCATAGAATGATTCCTTTGTGAAGCTTTATAACTGGGCAAAGCTTTTAGAGTTATCATGTTTTGTGCCCCATGAATAGAGACTCCAGTCATCTCAACACTAAGTATGATTATGCCAGAGAAACAACTACCTGAAGAAACATTTCACACGATCCAGGTGATCATGCCCCTCAAAGCAAATGAGTGTATAGTAATACAGTTTATGAAATAAAGGCACTGAATATTAAAAAAACAAGACTCTGCTGAGAGGATGGGCTATCAGGGTCTAAAACTTCCCATGAAAATGACTGACATCCTCCCTCCTCATCAGCCCCTTAATGAATTTGACTTTTTTTTTTTTTATGACAAACTGTGTCAAAATAATACTCATTTGTCTCATGAGTGATTATGACCATTGAACTTAGCTTGATGCATTATTTGATTAATAGGGTCCTCTAAAATACTGTGGGGGAGCTTCACCAACTTGACTTAAGTGACTTTAGATGACCCTTGTGCCTAAACTTCAACTTTTGCTCAACTTTTTTGACCATATTTTCCATAAATGTGTATCAAGATTTAGTTCAAAATTGACTCTTAAGAGAGAGTGCCAGGGTACTACACTGAAAAGGCGAGGTATTCACATGTTTAGAACTTGTTTATTTATGTAAGACAGAAATATAGCTTGAACCCACACACTGCAGTGGCTAATCTGTTAAACATAAACCACACATTATGCAATGAACTTTTTTTAATATAAATACATAGTTCAGTGTTATATCTGAGCATAGACACAACAAAGATCAATTGAACTAACCACCACTGAATATGAGTCACCACTCTAATCAATGAAATTCTTTAATCCAAAAGATGAATGACTTATCTGACATGACAAATGACAAATATCAACTCAGACATTGTCCTTGAACAAGCAAAAGAAATTCCTCCTCTCTGCACAGTCCTTGGTTGACATTTGGTCTCCTGTCTTTGGCATTGTTCCACAGTACTTGGTGGGTGCAGGGCAGACCAGCAGCTTTTGCTTCAGTTGTTCCTCCAGAGGGAAGCCATTCACCCACAGCCAGTGTCCTGCCAGAAAACGTAGACCTATCCACACCTCCTGGGTCTGGGCATTCTGGATCAACTTCTTAGCATGTAAGTTCGTATTTCCAGCATGCATGTGTAAAAGGTCATAGAGATGGTCGGAGGCTGTGTTGTTTGGAGTAGGGTCAGTTTTCAGACTCCTGCAGTGCTCCAGAGCCTCCTCCCATGTCTTCTTCTCTTTAACCAAGATCAGTTCATCGTCATAACACACGCTTTTATATTCAAAATGACAGGGAACGTCATTCCATTTTCCATCTGCTGTAACAACACACTCTTCCTCTTGCTTGTGGTTATTAGGCTCACCTGGGTGCCATCTTTTAAATCTGACTTCTTCTCCATTCAACCAGGTCCAGCTTTGGGGATCTTCAGCATCCTTGTGGAGACCAATCCAACACTCTTCCTTACATGAATTCTGCACAGCCTCATTTTCACTCTGATTTTCAACCACAGCCAGATCACTGTGGTGCCTTCTGCAGTAGTTTTTAGCTTTTTCCCAGGTCATTGTAATTGGCACATGTACATAGCGTCTGTGTTGTTCAAAAGCCTGTAAGAAAAGAGGAAGGCTGAGGATGAAAATAATGAAAAGACTCTTTGTTGACATGACTCCTCAGATGTAACCTAAATTGTTTTTTTGTCAGCTCTGACTGTGACCAGATGCCCACACTGTATTCTTTGTTTGATTTCTCTGGTTGATGTGGGTTGTGCCATTTCCCTATTGGCAGGAACATCCATCAAATAACCAATGAGAAGAGTCTTAATTTCTATCGGACAATCCTACCTCACCCAACTTCTATAACATCCAACTGACCATTTACATCAGCCACTTTAACATATGAAGGCAACAGAGTATCTCACATACCCACACACGCACACTCATCTAAAACATCATTATTCAAGTTGAATTGTATGAATCAGAGCACATACAGAGAACAAATGGAGCTATTCAACTGAAATAAGAATAAAAAGTTCATCAGTGACTCAGAGGAAATCTGGAGTCCAGTGAAGAAAGATTTTGTAAGTGTTAAATAAAATACATAAATTTCGAGAAACGTGTACCATTTAGTTCATAACTTTCTTTGCCAATATTTGTTTAAGTAAATCAGAAAAGCAGGCAAAGCCTCTTTACTCAAATAAGGGATTAAATTGTAAGAGCAAAGTCACCTCCATCCTGGTCAAGGTCTGACAGAACATTGAAAAGTTTTCTGGGGAAACCTAGAGGTAAAGTCTAAGGGCCTGGTTTACCAAGGTCCTAAATAACAAGTGCTAAATTGCATGTGCAAACAAAAAAATTGCATGTGCTATTAGTGGGCATGTTGATCTATTATTGCAATTGATAACGTATGTAAAAGTGGTGTGGACCGACCTATTTATATAAGGATTTTGCGTGCGTTACCGGCTGTCACCATGTAAACTTTGGGAGAGCAGAGTGACTGTAAATAAAAAAGGAACTTTAAAGTCATAGAGTTGGAGGTCTTAGTGAAGTAGGCAAATAAACACACTGATGAACTCCAGCAGACATCTCAGCATCACCAGTAGAAACACAATTTGGGAGGGCATCTACGAAAAGGTGAATACTGTGAGCAAAACCAGATGATCTGCTGCTGAAATAAAAAGAAGACGACAAGATATAAAACGAGAAGATATAAAACTGGGATCGGCAAAAATCAGCCCTTAGGTTATCCAGCAGCTCTAAAATGGCATAACTATCACTATGTCATTACCTGTGTTGGGTAGTAACACATTATAAGTAACGCCGTTACTTTATTCAGTAACTAATAATGTAACGAGTTGTTTTTTAAAATTCAATAACTCTGTTTCCGTAACATTTTAGCAATCTATTTAGTTTAATTGAACTGGAAAAATAAAGCACTTGCTGCTCTCTAGCATCACACATGTAATCAAACATGCGCCATGCAGAGGACTGGACAGGTCAGGGCACAACATGATGGCAAGCGAGAAGGGAAAGACAAGTTTCTCCTCGTGGAGTTATTCACATCATTTCCAAATCCAGAGCAAAGGGAAAAAAACATTATGGTGATATGTAAACTGTGTCCTGGGCGAACAATAGCAACAGTAATTTACTTAAGCACAGAGAAAAGCAGCACGCTGTGACAAAGTTAGCAGCTAAGGTCACTAATGCGGCATCTGAGACCAAGAGTCTCAGCGAGCACACACCCACTCCACCTAAGCAGCAGCGGTTGTAGTTTGAGGGACGGACCCAAAGCCAGGCACAAATCGACAATAGCATGGTATGTTTAAATGTTTATTTGGATCTCGGATGGTAAAATTTTACAGATAAAACCACATGTTTTTCCCCTCAGATATGTAGTGGAAAATGTGGCGTGTGGTGTCTTTTGTGGACCCAGAAGCAGACTCAGAGGCAGATAGCAAGTTAAAGATGTATTTTTCATGTCCAAAACACAGGGAAAAAGGCATGAGGAAAGTCCGGTTGGCTGGCTGACTGTTGTGTGGGCTGGAGACACTGTGGACAAGCAGAAGAGAAGGAGGATAGAAGACATACGAGGAATCACAGGGAGCAAAAGTCACAAGCACTTAGCCGAGGAGAAGGTCAGGAGAGGCGTCTGTACCGCTCAGGAGCGAAGACAATACTCAGGCGCTGAGACTGAGGGCTGCTGGCTTCTTAAGGGGCCTTGATTGTAGATGCAGCGCAGGTGTGGAGTCTCGCTCAGCTTCAGCGACCGGGGAGAGGGAGCGTGCTCTGGAAGCAGTCAAGCCAGACCAGGGTAGCAAGGAAAACAGGAAGTTAAATCAGAATAAAACAGGAAGTGGAGGCGTCGCACCACAGTACCCCCCTGAGCGGCATTGAAGTCGTCGAGGAGTTGATGGTCCAGGATGAGGGAGCGGGAGATCCAGAACCACTTTTCTGGACCGTAACCCTCCCAATCCACAAGGTATTGGAAGCCTCATCCCCGAGGCCACACGTCCAGGATTTGTCCCACAGTGAAGGCAGGGTGGTCGTCAATCATCCGGGGTGGAGGGGCGATGGAAGGAGGGCTCAGGGTGCATGATGTGACAGGCTTAATCAGGGAGACATGAAACGTGGTAGGAATTTTGAGGGATGAGGGAAGTTTAAGTCTTACCGCCGAGGGGTAATAATCTTCTAGGTCGGAAAGGGAACAATGAAGCGGGGAGACAGCTTGTGGGACTCGGTCTGCAGGGGAAGGTCACAGGACGATAACCAGACCATCTGACCGGGACGATAGTCTGGTGCAGGAGAGCGGTGAACATCAGCCAGGCATTTGTTGCGCTCGGCTGTGAGTGAGTGCAGCCCTGGAGGATTTCCACACCTCCCATAGACGCCCAATGTGCTCCCTCACCGATGGGACGGCCCCAGGGTGCTCCTGTTCAGAAAACAGGGGGGGCTGGTTGCCAAAACAGCACATGAAGGGAGATGTACCTGTAGTCGAGAAGGTGAGGGAGTTACAGGCGTACTGGATCCAAGGGAGGTGTGTACTCCAGGACGCTGGATGATGGGCCGCATCACACCACAAAGCCAACTCAAGGTTTTGATTAGCCCGCTCCGTCTGGCTGTTGGTCTGCCCACCGCCTGGCAGAAAGCTTTCCAAACCTGGGAGGAGAACTGGGGACCACGCTCTGATACAATGTCAATAGGGATACCATGGAGTTGAAAAACATGTGATACTAGGAGGTAAGCAGTTTCTAGTGCAGAGGGGAGCTTAGGTAACGGAATATAATGAAATCTAAAGTTATGTGAGACCAGGGGCGTGAGGGCACAGGCAGAGGATGCAGCAAGCCAGTCGGAGGTTGGTGGGAGGCTTTGCCTCGGGCACAGACGGAGCAGGTGGAAACAAAAGCCCATACGTTCCAGACCATCCCTGGCCACCAGAACCACTGCTGAAGGAATTGGAGGTTGCATTGAAATCCAGGGTGACAAGTGTGTTTAGAGGAATGCCTCCACTGTAGGACCTGGGAACATGCAACCTCAGGGATGAACTGTCTATCAGGAGGGCCTGTTCCGGGATCTGGGTGTTTAAGGAGGGTCTTGTCCACTATGGTGTCGATCTCCCAGGAGGCGGAACCGACAACACAGGAGGCGGGGAGGATGGTGTCTGGTTCACTGGGGTCCGAGGTAGCAGAGGAGTAGATCCAGGATAAAGTGTCAGGTTTGATATTGCGGGAGCCGGGACAATAGGGGAGGGTGAAGGTGAATCTGCTGAGGAAGAGGGACCAGCGGGCTTGCCTGGAGTTGAGGCATCGAGCAGAACGGAGGTATTGAAGTTTCTTATGGTGAGTCCAAATGAGGAATGGGTGTTGTGCTCCTTCCAGCCTGTGTCTCTATTCTTGGAGTGCCCACACAACAGCCAGCAACTCACGGTTTCCCATGTCGTAATACCGTTCAGTGGACAAGAGTTTCTGGGAGAAGTAAGCACAAGGATGGAGCTTCTAGGTCTCGGGATCCCTCTGCAAGAGGACGGCCCCCACTCAGGAGTCCACAGCGTCAACCTCTACCATGAATTGGAGAGAGGGATCCGGGTGTTTGAGCACCAGGGCGGAGATGAAGAGGGACTTGAGCTGGATGAAGGTGGCATCTGCTTCAGGGGTCCAGGTGAATGGGACTTTGAGGGATGTGAAATGGGTGAGAGGCACAGCCACCAAGCTGTAGTTCCAAATGAATCTTCTATAGAAGTTAGCAAAGCTGAGGAATCGCTGGAGATCTTTGCAGGAGGAGGAAGTGGGCCAGTCATAGACAGCACAGACTTTCTCCGGGTCTGGGCGTAGCTCCCCCTGGGCGATGATGTATCCCAAGAAGCTGACGGAGGAGGCATGGAACTTGCACTTCTCGGGTTTGTTCTCAAGGAAGTGCTGGAGGACGAGTCGGACATGTTGTTGATGTTCCTCAATGTTGCGGGAGAAGATCAGGATATCTTCCAGATATAAAAGGCGAATTTATTGATCATGTCACAGAGGACGATGAGAGCCTGGAACACAGCGGGAGCATTGGTGAGACCAAAGGGCATGACGAGGTACTCGAAGTGGCCCATGGGTGTGTTAAAGGCCGTCTTCCACTCGTCGCCCTCTCTGATGCGAACCAGGTGATAGGTGTTACGGAGGTCCAGTTTGGAGAAGACGGTGGCATTGCAGAGAGGTTCAAAGGAGGGATCGATGAGTTGCAGGGGATATTTGTTCTTCACGGTGATATCGTTGAGTCCGCGGAAGTCAATGCAGGGACGGAGAGAGGAATCTTTCTTTTTAACAGAGAAGACGCCAGCAGCAAGTGGAGAGGGTGAGGGCCGGACGAGTCCAGAAGCCAGAGAATCCTGGATGTACTCCTCCATGGCTTCTCGCTCAGGCCGAGAGAGATTGTACAGTCTGCTGCTGGGGAGAGGGGCACCAGGAAGCAAGTCTATGCCACAATCATAGGGGTGATGAGGAGGAAGGACGAGAGACTGCTCCTTATTGAAAACCATGGCCAGATCATGGTAAACAGAGGGAACAGAGGCGAGAGATAGCAGTGGTGAT